TGTAATTTCTACTGAAAGACTGACCTTAATAGGTCAACCATAATCTTTTAAGTGCTTTTCAAACTTGAGGGCTTCAAATGGTACAAAATACAATGTGGATATATTTGTATCATTTGGTTCTTAGCTGATGATTTGAGTGAATTTTACTCTAAAGAGTGAATTTGAGTGAATTTTACTCTAAAGAGCCAGCCATCGGGGTGTGCTAGCATCACATATTCTGCAAATCTGTGTTCTAAAACAGTACACATTTCCTTAGCTGTCAGAAATACATGAACCTTTGGAAGACCTAGACTGTCAATGGTAATGCCATGCCACACAGTTTAAAAAAAAAAAAAAACTGCTCTTTTCAGAGAACAGAGTGGTATGTTGGACAAATGTTACAAGCATATTAAAATTAGAATATGTTTGACTCCCGGGATTTTACTACACATTTTAAAATAAGTATAAAATGGAAGTAATTTGCTATTTGGTGCTATAAATATCAGGATTCTTCCAAAACTTACCATTTAATGAAAATTATTTTCTATAGCCTCAGAATTCCAGAGTTTTAAAGAAAAAAAAATGTGGATTTTTATAGATAATTGAGTAATATCCAAAATTATCCTTAATAGAGTACATATTATAGAAGTTAATTCTAACATGAATATATTAATCTCATGTAAACCAGAGATTTGGTTTTACTAGTTTTAGATTTTACTTGGCAATCTTTCATAGCACCTTCAAGGAAGTTTTCAATCAACATTTTAACTAGAGGATGACAGATGACTAAAATGATAAGGAAATAAACTATCTCTTTATTTGAATAGGTGAACTTCGTCTCCAAATAATTGCTCATCCCAGGCTGCTTTATTTCATCAGCTAAAAAACAACACATTTGGATTTTGCAGCCCAAATCCTGAACAATTTTTAATTCCACTAAAATGGTCTTTATTGACAACCCGAACTAATGTACCTCCACTGGGAAACTACAAAAGCTTTGCAAGTCTGGCTCCCTCCTCACCTTGAGTTAGCTCAGTTGGTGTTAACCACACACCTAAATACAGGTTTCTTTCCACTTCCTAAGAATTTGAGCTCTTCCCTCACTTGAGCAGTGCCTATGATAAATTTCCACAAAACTGGAAAAAAAAATGTTTTCCTAACATTTTCTCTCAAAATGTTAACACTTTTCTTTGCTATTCAATATGTACTTTCTCAATAAGTACTTGCTTAATATTTTCTTTTCCAGACATCTACTTTTTCAATGTGCTGACCTCCACAGCTATATAAATACACCTAAGATTACTAGATTCCAGAGCTCTAACACCAACTCACATGAAATAACATGCAATACAGTGAATACCAACTCACATGGAATAACACGCAATACAGTGAATACCATGCTAGATTAAGCACAAATATTTAATGAATGCTTTGCTGCTGAGCTTCTGAATTCGAAATTCTTTTCTACATAGTTTTGTAGAGAGGTCTGATCTAATCTTAAGATGTCTGTAAGTCACTGTAAGGAGACAGTATCAGTATCATTTTTAAGGAGACAGTTTAACAGTTATGAGGGGAGTTAGAAACCTTGAAAACAAAATCCAATTACTGATACCGTGAACCACATAAAACTTTGGTTTTGTTATGTAAAATAGACAACAGAATCCATCCCAAGAATGTTAGTAAAATACACTAAGGACCCCTTAGTTTATTGCAATGCTATTCACATAGCTATTTTGTAAACAACCCAAATGCCCAAAAAACAGATGACTGGATGATTAAGATGATGTTGTATACACACACCAAATGGAATTATTACTCAGCAGTCAAGATAAACTCATGCCACTTGCAGCAACATGGATGGAGTAAGAAGGAACTTTGCTCAGTAAAATAAGCCAGAAGGAAAAAAGAAAAACATTGCATGGTTTCACTTACAGGAGGAATATAAGGGAACCAAATAAAGGATCAGAAAAAATATATAACAATAATTTAAAATATAAATTAGGAAGCAACCATAAATCAAGACATTCTGCAAGGGAGAGGGAAGAAATGGGATCAAAACTGGGGAGAGATGTGCAAAAGGGACTATGATGATGGTTCATGAGTGAATTAGTGGTGAGAATTTTATGGGAAATACATAATGATGTAAAAGCTTTAAATTAACAAAAATGAATTAATGTATGTGAATACCTGTGTGTTTGGAACACAGCAGCATTATTTCTAAGTTTTAAAAATGATATCCCCCTTCTAAAAACATACTGCAAATTCATGTGAAAATAAGTACAAGGGAAACAGGTTAAAATCATCTCAAAAATAATGATGATTGAGGATATCAGACAACCCTATATCCTAGTTTATTTACCTAGAATGGTTGGGAATTACAGTATTTTTTGAAAAGCAATAGTCTCCTTCAAGCCCCTTGATACTCAAACGTAATTTGTTCTAAGAATAAATGGTTAACTGTGCTGTTTTTTTATTTCCATTGCTCCCACCTACTATTCTATACTCAACTATGTAGTGCTGAGATTGGGAACAAATTAATTACATTTTTCCTTTTCCACCTAAAGTTTTGTTAAGCTCCATTTATAGGACTAGAAGAAACAGGAAAGGCAGGAACAGGAAAGAATTTTGCTATTTCCTGTTTGCATGCTGCTCCTGGCAGCTTCCCTGGAACAAGTCTTTCATTTTTCTGAGGCAACTGCTTCCAATATCCAGCCTTTACTTAGGATTCTCTAAACCGGCAACATCATTCCTGCACCAGTACTAACATTACCTACCAATGTCTCTTCTTCAAAATGTCTCCAAGTCCCTACTCTACAGGATTTCTCCTCCAAGTTTCTAGTTTTTAATAACCACAATCTCTACTCTGCAACCTGAGCTCCAGGAGTGGCAGATTCTTCCTGCAATTAACTATCTCAGTGTTCTCTTTCAACCTCTTTATTTGGGCCAGTAGGAACTTATCCTAATCCTCATCACACTGTCAAAATAGCTACTTGTGCTCTTCCACCTGTCAAAGAGTCAGATACTGGTAAGTACTCAGAGGGGAATATTGGGGGGCTTTAAATAATTTTTGCCTTTTGGAATGTCTTTACGTATTACTTAGGTAACAAATTAAATTATGTATTTAATTATTCTGCCTTCTTCACACTGGCTTTCAGAGCATCATAATCTTTTTAACAAAAGCATCACTAGTAAAACCCTGAGAAAATGTACTCATTAGACTAACATCAGGTAGATGATTTATGGAGTTAAGACTATCAGTTATTCAATTGGATAATTCACACAGAGATGGTATTTGCTAATCTTGTCATTAACACCAGCACATCAAACAAATCTGAAAGTTTTCCATTAGATGTACACTGACGGATTAAATAAGTCTACCACATATTAAATTTGTGACAAATGTTTTTGATTTTCTCCTTATCCCAACTACCTACCACCAGACCCTAATCTAAGAATAGAAACAAAGCTTCTTTAGAATGTAACTTTGATTTATAACAACGAAAAGAAAAAGATCTTTGCTGACAAATGCTAAGTTATGAAGGCTTACCAGGACACCCTAACAGCAACGTACTAGATAAATTTAGTAAGGATTTTTTTTTTTACATTATAAATTGCATGATATATATCGCTATATACAATAAATAACTAATATCCACTTCCACTTGCCACTTTCTTAAAGCAAATTCACTCATTTCTTATTGCCACCTCTACTAGTCAATTTTATCAGTCTTTCAACTACAGTTAGTTAACACTAGAAAAAAACTTGAGAATTTGTATCATTCTACAGATAAAAGTTTTCACAACATTAAGAAATGAGGTGAGCACTCATCCCTCAACCCACAGTAAGAATACAAGGACATTAAGTACTGGTTCCCCAGTATACGAGTAGGTATTTATATTAAGAATAAAGAAACTATCTGTAATTGATTTTTAAAAAATTAGTTCCAAAGACCAGCAAGCCTAGATTTATCTGTTTTATTCTTCACTTTCTTGAGAATCAACACATTTGTGAACAAGATCCCTAAGACCTCAGTAAGGATAAAGTTTATTTTACTTGCAACATCCATTTGTTGCCCTACCATGAATTCTGATTTCATATTCAAATATTATGTTAATGTGAATGACTAACTCGTTTTCTAGAAAACTGTTTGAAATATGCCAGTTATATAAGTTCCTATTTTCTGCTTAAATTTTTAACAGATAACTATAATATTCTAAGACTCTCAACATTTAAAATTAGTGCTTCAAATTATTATCGTTCTTAAAAATTAAAACAAGAAATCTAAATAAAGATCACTAAGGAAAGAAATAAGACAGCTTCCTAGAGAGCCCATACCATCCGAAGAGGCGTACTGGCAAAAGATCAGTATAGGCACCATTTCCCTACCACTTATATCCAAACCGCCACCTGTTCCCCAATATACACTTCCTACATGGCAGAAGAAACCACAAATGCCTGAAAAGTCTGTCTCTACTTTCTTAGTGAATCACAGAAAGTTCGCTTATACAAGTAAAACAGCCTTAAATGATTTCTGTGGCTTGCACTTTTCTATTTTCATCATTGTGACGTTTAATTGAGTGATAATTATCTTAACAGATCAAAATTCCAAAATTTAAATCTTTTACTTTGTCAAGAAGTTACATGATTCAAACTGTATTCAATTAGTTTAAGGAAATACCCAAATTTAACTGTCATAACTTACGTTAACACACCAAAAGTGTTATAGAACATAATAAATGAGGATAAATGGGTCTATATACACACGGTACTCTTCCTCTCCAAACTGAAAGACATTACTCTCAGAAAAAGAATAATGCCTATATTGAGTCATCCTTTTGTACTGAAAAATAGAAAGTCAACCTTACAATGGAAAAATGTATGACTCTATTACTACTTATATTTCAATTTTTGTTTATAAAACAAGTAGTGTAAAGACAGAAAATTTAAGAAAGATTCTTCTACAGATTACCAGATATTTGGAATCACAATAAAACATGAAATTTATAGAGCTTTAAAATACTAACAAAATAAACATTTTATTGATGTGTTTGAAAAGTATGTCCACCAAAGCAAGTGACTACTAATGCTGAATAAAAAACCTACAAAGAATGCGTACCACATGATTCAATTTTTTACATTTTATATATATAAAAACTATATTATAAATACAAAACTGAGCTAGTAAGAGTACCAACAATACTGTTCATACAAAGAAACTTAATAGTAATAAAATATGAATACATAAGAAAGATGCTTATTTTTGGTCCTTCTTGGAAAAAACTAAGTTGTCTTTGTTTTGTTTTTTAACATAGCTGCAGGCACAAAAACAGAAGATGATAACTGCAACATTCTTAGCGTTTATCCTTGTAATTCTTCAAATGTCACCAGTCATAATAGCAATGAACTCCTCTTGATTGACTGTGGTAAAAAAGAAAGTGTTAGTCAAAAATACAGATATTTTACTATTTTCTCAGAGAAGATACTACTATTTCATAGTGAGTATCTATAATTTTAAATTATACAAAATTCTTAATAAACTGATATATAGCTTTTGGCTTTTATTTTTTTACTAGGACATTAAACATTTATTAAATAGAACTTCATGAATACAAAAATACATAAAATATGATAATTACTTTATAATTTCACCTAGAGGAAAGACATATAATTACAAAAATTCCATATTTGTATACTTTGTAATTTTAAGAGCTTTTTTCAAAAATTCAGATGGTTATGTCTTCTTTATTATTCTACAATCTCATTTAGCAAATCCTTCATTAATAAACCTGAACATATCATGTGTTAGAATTCTAAAGGACAAAATATATTAGAAAAATAGTTGTTCAACTTTTACACACTTAAAAATCTATTTTAAAGAAAAACCAACTGAAAACAGGTCACCATGGCAAAAGAACCTTGAAAAGATAATTTAAAAATTGGAGATTTAGTCATAAAAATTAACCTAGTTACTATAAAATATGTTATAAATGCAGGAAATAATTATAAAAAGTAACTGTCAGACAATCAAAAGTATAAAATTATAAGCAAAATTGTAAATAAATTTCAATAAGAACCTCTATTTTTAAAGCACAGTGTTTAAGACGACCTAGAAACAAGTAATAATCTTGCTAAGTATATATTTTTAAAATCAATACACACAAACCACAAGAATTATTAGCAGAAATTTTAAAAATGTTGTAAATCAGGCCCCCCCCCAACACTTAACCCCTTGAGAAGGAGCAAGTTATGAAAGGTAATTTTGACAATGATAACAAGCACCACTTATTTCTACAACGAGAAAGTAAGACCTGGATTCCAGTCTCTATTTCCTTTTTCAGGAAATACTGAACTATAAGACAATCTTTAAGGCTGTTTCTAACTTCTAAACTTTCCAATACCTCAGAAGCTAATATATGAAAATCTTACATCGAGTCAAACATTTTTAAGTGGCCAATGAATGCCAACAACATATTAAGAGTTGTATAACACATTAAAACAGACACAGGAGTACTTTTGAGGAATATATTAGGTTGTACTAAAAAATTACTGTTTTCTTTGCAGTTACAACAGCATACAGATATGAAAATAATATCCTTATTCTTAGGAGGAGCATGCTAAAATATTAAGGGGTTTAAGTTCATGATATATTTCTCAATCAGAAAAAAAGAACACTATAAAAAATACAATAAAATGTTAATTACTTAATCTAGTTAGAAGGTTATAAAGGTGTTCACTGTCCAAGTTTTAATATTTTTCTCTATGCTATAGACCAAAAATGTAAAGTTAAAAATTTTTTTTTAAATATCAAGATAAAACATGTACATCGAGAATGGAAAGTATACTAGTTTTAGAAACCACAAAGAAAACCAGTCTCAATAATTACATTAGTCACACTGTATTATATGAAACAGAAGATAATTATTGTAGAATACAAAATATGCTCTATTCTTAGAATACATCCACATTATCTGTGTTGAAAGTATTCATCATACTGGAAAATTCATTATGGATACAACCCAAGTGACCAAGAACAGCTGAGATGATTAGAAAGATGTAGTAAAGATACATACTAGAACACTACTCAATTATAAAAAAAAAAAAAAAATTACTTGCTATTTGCTACAACATGGATGGAGATCATGCTAAGTGAAGTAATTCAGAAGGAGAAAGACATATATTGGATGGTTCCACTTATAAGTGGAACACAGAGAAACAAAACAAAGGGTTAGGCAAAAACAAGTTAACAAAACCTAGAAATCTGACTGTAGAAATAGAAATCTGAGGCTACCAGAGGAGGCGGGCAAGCAAAGTGGGGCCCAGTGGACTGAGTGGAGGACTATGGGTAAATTGCTGGTGGGTGTGCTATGGTAACATATACCTCAAGTGTGAATGACAACTATATGTCTAAATCATGCATACAGTATTGTAAAAGCAGCTACTTCAATTTTTTTTAAAAATCAGTAAGAATATATCTTGAATTCAGTTTTAAAATAAAAGGATCTGGTTTGATAGATGGGGAAAAAATAAGGATAAGACAACACCATGATAAATATAGTTAAAGACAAAACAGTGCAAAAAAACTTCCAAGTGTTCAGTGTGATACACAACACACACACACATATATATGCTTAACTACTCAACCATAAAAACAAAAATGGAATCTTGGCATTTGCAACATGAATGAGCCTTAAGGCTAAATGAAATTTAATAAAAAGACAAATATTTTATCATCTCACATATGTGGGGTTTAAAAAAATAAAGTTACTATCAAGCTCACAGACATAGAAAACAGCAGTGCTAGAGGTGGATGGCAGGCAAACTAAGTAAAGGGGACCAAAAAGTATAAACTCCTACTTATGAAATAAGTAAATCATGGGGGTGTAATGTGAACATGGTCATAGGTGTGTTACATATTTGAAAACTAAGAGGATTAATTGTAAAAGTTCTCATCAAAAGAAAAACTCTTTTATGTATGGTGACAGATACTCAATTTACTACGGTAATCACTTTGCTATACATGAATATGTGTGTGTATATATAAGTATACATAATCATGGTATAAATTATATACAACTGTGTACTGAATGTAATTATATAATATATTGCATATACAACTATGCCTTAAGAAAACATACTTAAAAACTGAAAGGAACCTTAGAATGATCTGATGATACATCATTCTAACAGTTTAACAGAGCCATGATTAAAATACTCAAAAGTCTGGAAAATACTTATGCTTGTTATTAGGAACTAAACTCCCAATTGTAAATTAATAGTCAAATTTCAAATAAAGTCTCAGATAGTTCTATAACAACAAAACACCTGACTTTTATTTATATATAAATACTTCAAAGTATGGTATTACTGCAGAAGTATTTTAAACTATTTCATAGTCCTATATCTAAAAACAAGACATAAGACAAAAAAATGGAAAACCTGAAGGCAAAGGAAGTGGCAAGGAAATTAAACTGGCTTCTTTATTACCAGTGATCGTTTGGGCCAATTAAGATAATCTGTGAAGCCTTTGCAATCTTGGTTTTATGGCCTTTTTAAATTAATATCCTGTATGTAGTTTCTGTAGAAATCTAGCACAATGCCTAACTTAAACATTTGATAATTTACTTTTAAAATATATTTTCATTTTGACACTGCCTTTTCTAACAAAATTTCCAAAATCAATTACTTCTTTTATATATCCTTAAAATTAAGAATTTTAGAAGTAGATTAAGTAATTTAAGGACCATCTTGCTTCAAATTTTTCCCATCTGAGTAAGTTTTTTTTTTTTTAAGATTTATTTATTTTTTCATATAGAACTGGGGTACAGGCCAGAGATGTGGAAGGTGAGAGATTCACCAGAGACAGAACAGGGAGCAGAACAGGCAGATCAACAAGGTACACCGCTGAGGGGAGCAGTGGGCGGGTCAGGAGAGGTCTGCCTCACCACTTGGATCTCCTCCCAAGCAGGCAGGAATCCAACGCTTGCGGAAGTGGCTTAAGTTTCTTAGTGCTGTGCTTTGACCTGCTGCGCCACCAGGGAGGGCCCCCATCTGAGCAAGTTTTAGCAGTGATGTTCTAGTTGAATATTTACTAATACATTGATTCCTCTATAGCAGAAGAGGCAATGCATAATCACAAGTGTTAATGGTTATAAAAGCATGTTCTTTATTATTATGGGCAAATCAGTTTTGAGTTCTGTCTCTACCATAATATACTAGATCTGTGACAACTCTGGACAGGTTATTAATCTCTCCTAACTTTAATTAGCACATATGTACATGTATTTATCCTAAGCATAAATGTGTAATGGTGTAAGATTTTGAAGATATGAGATTATAATTACTTCACAAAAGCTATAATGAAAAATCCATAATGAACATGTTAAGTTCAGGATCTAACATTTATTAGCTACTAAATAAATGCTAACATGCATCATAATTATTTAAAAGATGATACACACTTAGCTTTTTAAGTGTTGCTTACTTTTTGCTTACATTTTTCCAAAAAGAGTTACCGTTTCATTTTATACATCTCGTGAGGCAACGTGAACAGATTCTTCCTGTATCATTACCACAGTTTTATTTCATATTATATCTTATTTTCCTTTAACTGCTATATAAACAATTAAAAACAACTGCTCTTATATACTGAAGGGTCAGAAATCCACAGACAGAATTACCAAAATTCACCAGAAAAGACACTAAAGTTTCCTGATCTTTACCAGCTTAATACACACACAAAAAGTAGGTTATATTTAAATAAAACTGTTTGCAGTGAAGCAAAATTAACTGATTAGGTTAATAAGCTATTATGAAGTGTAACGTTCTACTTTTCTAAAAATGGAGATTTTCATAAAGCTACAGACACCCATGTAAGTTAAAGTAGTATTCCAAAGCCAGAGAGACTATACAAATTAGACTGCAGTTTTCAATGTTTCTGAATACGGAAATGTCACTCCATAACAGGCAATTTTCAGAACTTGTCACAGTAACAGCTATACTTAGTATGTCCTGTTTGAAAAACAGAGGTCAACAGCTACTACAAATTCTGCAAAATCAGTAAATGTATCAATTACAGTAGTAGTTACACATATAAAAGCAAAATAGCAATATATGTATGTAAGTGCAGTATTATAATTAATATGAACGAAGGTGATTATGTTGCACAACAAAGTCCCAGACCCCATGCAATACCTCACAAAGTGTCAACTTATGGAGCTACAAATTCCAGACTAGAAGCTATCAAATTAGACTATTTTAACATGGTAAGGCCTCCCTCTTCACAATCTATCCCTCCAAAAAACATGTATTTTCTTATAATCATTTGAATAGAAGAAAAAATGTTATTTGCCTATTAGTGATTTAAATAAATAATAAGAGATCTAAGCAACACTTAGTAGTAGTACAGTGACTGAAAGTGGAGTATGATTAGCTATGGAGATAAAATAAATACATTAAGATAAACTTCAATAATAGCAGGCACACATGTGAACTCTGAGGTTCAAAAGTTGCAATGTAGTCTAACAAGAGATGCAAGAAATGAACACATTTTCTTTTTCTTTCTTTTTTTTTCAAAGACTTATTTATGCATACAGAACTGGGATACAGGCCAGAGGTGGGGGTGCGGGAGGTGGGAAGATTCTCCATTGACAGAATGGGGAGCAGAACAGGCAGATGTACTGAAAAACAAAGCTGACGGGAGCATCGGGTGGGTCAGTAGAAGTCTGCCACACCATGTGGGTCACGTCCCTGGCCAGGGGTTGAACTTGTGCTGCAGTAGCTTTATAGTGCTGTGTTTTAACTCACTGCACTCCAGGGAGGGACCAATGAACACATTTTCCAAGCAAAGTTTTTACATCAACTTTGAATTTAAGAGGCAACTTCTTAATTGAATTTTTACTAATACTCTGTCTCTGGTGAAGCCTCTCACTGCCCCTACACCTCTGGCCACTCCTCCAGGTCTGTATGCATAAATAAATCAATCCAAACAAAATAAAATCAAAGATTTAAAAGTAAATACAACTATATCAATATCCTCCAAGGAGCTATTATTAAAAAATATATGTTACAATGTTCAAATAATATTTATATAAATAAAATGAAAAAGCACAGTAATAAACAATTCTTAAGGAAAAATAAAACCTGAACAGGACTTCTTACTACCTCCTTATTAAAGCAGGGCCTATATGATTTCAAAACCTTTTTATATTTTCACATTATATTGCATCATATTGCTCCCTAAGAGGTTAGCAATGTCTTACATAATTAACAGAAAGCAATGTACAAAAGAATCAAAATAGTTTGTTCCTCTAATGCTATGGTCCTCAATGGATATCTCCTAACTTATACTGAGACACTAGGGAAAGCTTTAGAAAAAAAAAAAGATACAGTTTAAAATGTACCTGAGAGAACAACTAACATTTTAACAGACAGAAGCTGGCAATTAGACCATTCTAAGGAATTAAGGAGCAGTAATATAAAAGGCATAGAATAAAAAATTGGTTTTAGGTCAGAGTATGTATATATGGGAGGTGAGGTATACAAGTAGAAAAGGAGAATTAAGTGGGACATTAAATCTAGATACTTAACATAGAACAGGTAACAGAAGACTTTGAACTTTATACTTGAAGAACTGAAGAACCATTCTAAGTTTTAAATAGGGAAAGGACATCATCAAACCTGTATTTGAGGTAGAAAATGCTATTAATAGATTGAATTAGGAAGAGAGTAGAGGCTTAGAGAGAGATTAGGCTACAGGAGACTACAGGTGGAGCCGGTGAAGACTAGAACCACATCTGTCTTTTTCATTGGGCAGTACCAGCAGTATATAGGGCATTGTACAGGGTACATATCAAGAAAATAACAAGAGGTTATTGTAACATTCCTACATTCATACATTAGAGGATGAACTAAGACAGCAGCAAAGAAATACAACAAATAAACCACTCAAAATATTTGAAGGCTAGAACAAATATTCATTAAGTATATGTCAGTAGGTTAAGGAAGAATGCATTAAAGACCAAATTTGGGGGATGTTTCACCCTCAAAAAAAGTAAAGTATCTTCTTGAGGTGTAAAACCTTAGATATAATTCATATAGTTGGGTTTCAAAGGTCTTCTTCATTCTAAGTTAAATGTGAAAGATGTATGCAAAATGACCACTACAGGATGAATCACTACACATAATACAAAGAGACATTTTATAAAAGATTTTAAAAGTTATTTGATTTCAGAAAAATTTACCATATGTATGTATCAGGAATACTTGGAATAGACATTTTACTCAAAACTTACTTTCTCCATCACCATCTTTATCAAATTCTTCTATCATAGCCCGAAGTTCTTCATCACTCATGTTTTCACCCAATTCTCTGGCAACTCGTCGCAAATTCCTCAAGCTTATTTTACCCGAATCATCATCATCAAATAGTTTAAATGCCTTTAATATTTCTTCATGAGGATCTCTATCCAATATCCAGTCTGTCACTACAGCAAATAAAAGGGAAAAAATAAACTTGCATAACCACAACGGCAGTCATTTGTAAAATCAACTAAGTATTTAGATGAGAGTAGGAGCTCTGAATCTGTCAACATATCATTTGACAACAGAATGCTAAATTGAAGCCAAAATCCCAGAGATAAACCTGAAATTAGAAAAAAACAAACCACATTTTAAAATCTGTAAATTTTAAAATATGTAATATATTCTCAACAATGTAACCTACCATAAAAGTAGGCAAAGCCAGAGTATTCAACAGCAAAACAAAAAGGACTATACTTATATTGTATTTATTTAAGATCCACTAATATTAAGAATTGCACCAGGTTACACTGACATCAAGTGCACAGGTTTATGAATCTGTAGCCTAGGTTGTAGAAACGAAATAATAACAAAACAAAGCTAATTGATAAATGCTGTTTGCTGGCTAAACTTAATAGTATTAACACTGTGTGCTCCTAAATTTAATACAAATTACAGACAAACTCATGACAAATTAACAAAATTGCATTGCCACCATTGATAAAGAAACAATCAGTAGATAAAAAATACACTAGCATCTTCGTAAAAGGAACCTTTTAGTTTACAAAAATTTGGGAAGTAGTTACTGAAAGAATCTAATTATAATAGGAAAGTTAAAAAAAAATCTAGAAAGATCTCCCTTAATGACATTATTTTACCAGCAAGATAATAGCTCTCGCTAATAGTCTAAATGTAATTTCAGAATTCAACACTAACTGTATATTTTAAAACATAAATATAATAAACTTATTAAGTATTTCCACTATTACAACTGATTTTAATTAACATTGAAGTAAAAATCTGGAGTATTTTTTAAGTTATTGGATAAAATTCTGAAAATAGGGTCGTCCCTGGTGGCGCAGCAGGTTAAAGCACAGCAGCATCAGTTCAATCCTTGCCCAGGGAGGTGACCCACATAGCGAAACAGACCTCTCCTGACCAGCCTGCTGCTCCCCTCAGCAGTGTACTAGGTCAGTCGGCCCATTCTGCTCCCCACTCTGTCTCTGGTGAATCCTCTCACCGCCCCTATAGGCCTGTATCCCTCCTCTGTATGCATAAATAAATAAATCTTTTAAAATACATAATAATTTAGTCCTATTACAATCTATAGAATCATTAAAAACTTGTAATTACTTGTTTATAGAATGTATTGGAATGTTCAATGCACCCAAAAAGAAAAAAACATTCTAGTCCCAAAAAATACAGTTTTGCTGTTGCTGTCTAATCATATTCTGTGGAATAAGTTTAAGAATAAGAACCCATTCAAACTAATGTTAAATCAATCACCTATACATATATTCAACATTTTCTTTTATCCAATATATTTTATCCAAGTCTTCCATGCAACTAATTGAAACATATTACTATGAGTATGCAAATCATCAAAGCTCATAAATATTCAATTAAAAGGAGTTGGCATAAATACAGCCATAACACCAAAATAAAATACCACACTTAACTCCATGGCTCATACTCAACTAATTTTGAATTTAGTCCCAACAAAAAAGCAGGACAAGGAAAAAAAAGTGTTAAGAAATTTTCTTCACCAATTAAATAATTTACATGACAGGTGAACCAAAAAAGCAGCTTGCTCAAAGTATTAATGTATTTAAAGAAGCAACAGGGTGATCTGGGGAACAGATGGGGCTCCAAGATGTATAAATTCTTATCCCACTGGTACTTTAATTGTGTTAGTTACTTCAGACTTATGTGTCTAATCTTTTATCAATACTTTGTCTTAGAATGCAGTTTTTATTGAAAACTATAAATACTCATCATTCTAGACATCTAAAACATTATCAGTTTATAACTTTACGGTAACTGCCCTTTGAGTTTGACCTATTCCTATTCTATTAAATAGAATTCTAAGAAGTAAAAGTTTTCTTCAATGAAAATTGCATACAGACAGACAAAGGTGGGTTCAATCTGTTTCACAAATGCCTGTCCATTAATTATTTTCAAATGATTTAATGAATACTGTCAGAAATGTACTTCCTCAAAATACATTACACATTATAAAAATCACCTAATATACCACAAATGAAAAATGTATCAAGTCATTAAAGGTGATACTAAAAATTATAGACAAACTCATGACAAATTAACAAAATTACTAGCTTTATCTGTATTTGTATTTCTCACTGCCTTTTAGAAGTTTATATGCCAACAGACCAGTACTTTAAAGTCAGTATTTTTTAATCCAAGCTCTTCCCACTATCACAAAAATAGCCATGATAGCTAACCCCAAAATGGTAAGAGCACCAATAGCAGCTAGTGTCCATGAAAACTGAACAATTTCAATGGTAAAAACCTACTCAGTGATCAGATCCTGGAGTACTAAGGATGCTATCTCTTTTATTCTTAAATACATCCCTTCTCATTCTCACCACAGTAAGAATAAAAAGTCTATTCTACCTGCAGTCTCTCTTCCTTCTAAAGCAAACTAGTGCACTCACTATGTAAAAGTTGTGTGGAAGTTCCTCAAATTACCATCATGAAATTGGAGCTAATCATATGACTTGTTAATTACACTGCTACAACTCTACCCAAAAGATGCAAAAACATTCATTGCAAAGGAAATCTACATTACTATTTTATTGAAGTACTAGTTACAACAACTAAAACACAGGGAAATGTAAATGTCCCAAAAGCAGATGACTGGATCAAGAAGATGTGGTAGATATACACAAAGGAAGACTACTCAGCAATCAAAAGATATGCTCATGTCACTCATAGCAACATGGATGGAGCTAGAAAGGAACTTGGTATAATAAAGGAGAAGGAAAAGAAAAAATATCAGATGGTTTCACTCATAGGAAGACTATAGGGAAACCAAACAAAGGGCCCAAAAATCAGACAAACTTGGAGGCAAGCTATAGACCTGAGGTATACAACAGAGATGGCGAGGGAAATGGGTCAAAACAGGAGGGAAGAGCACACGGGAATATGATGACAGTTTATAGTGATGTGGTGGTGGAAGATTATGGGGACTACCCCTTAGGGAAGAAAGCAAATATTGTACAAAAATGAACAACAATGTAAAAAAAAAAAAAGGCAACAGCTGAAAAAAAATTCAACTATTAAAAAAAACTGTTAGATGATTTCTAACTGATCCAAAAACACCTGTGCAACAGCATCCTCATAGATGGCACATAAAACTAAGACTTAAATATTCCTATTGGGGTTAGTTGTCCCAAAGTATAAAACAGACACCCTCTATATTCATTTTTTCCTAAAACATAATCAACAAATGGGAGAACACATTGTTCTTACCTATTTTATTCCCAAACAGTAATACATTTTTATATGATAACTTGTATACTCAGTAGCTAGTCTATGATAGCTAAAGTATATGCTAAGTCTGTCAAAAAGGTTTATCTATGAAAGTTACAGCTAAAGTTTAACTATAGCTAATAGTAACTTATTCTAAAAAAGAATCCGTTATTTGTGCTCTGTAAGTAAAAGAGAAAAATAGGGTACGGGGGAGAGGGAGAAAAATATGGGACTCTGGCTTCAACAGCTAATAAAAGCACAATTTAAAACCGTATTAATTTTACATAACATATTGTTTTATAAAATAATTAATGACAATGATTCAATACTTAATATCAACTATAATCAGAAATATATAACACAAAAATAAGGAGCACACTTTTTATGACCCAGAATGCATATGATTATCTTGTCATTAAAATAAATGACAACTATATTTTAAAGTACTATAAGTACTTTTTTTTTTAAAGTACTATAAGTACTTGTACTATAAGTACAAGTACTTAACAGCACTTAGAATATGTTAGGTCCTTTTCTAAGCACCTCATATTAAGCCCTCACAAGAACTCTGCATGGCAGTACAACTATCCCAATTTCATAGCTAAAAATGAGGCACAAGGCCCTCCCTGGTGGCGCAG